GTCTCGGGCTATTGAGGTTCGGCTCACCTCGCGTTCCAGAGCTGGTGTGTTGAGTCTGCCGCTGATGTCCCGAACTGTGGGCTCCCACGCTCTCCACGCAGGTCCGCTGTGAGTCACGCGTTCCGGAAGAGTTTCTTGTGCTGTTTCCTCCCCTACTCTTCCTTGAACCTGCAGTATCTCCACTTTTATTAAACTATCTCTCCCCAGACTATCAGTGTGCTCCCTTCCTATTCCGCCATCTTGCCGGACTCAAATGTGATACTTTTTAATTCACTGAAAATTACATTTCAGAACGTGAAATCTGAAACCTAACGTAGTAAAATGAGAACAATTTTCAATGAGGAGGCGTCAGTGTACCCCAGGTGTGAGGTGATCTCTGAGTGAGAAGGGGTTTTCCTCTCACCCCCATCTATCCAGGGGTGTGTGTGTGTGTGTGTGTGTGTGTGTCTCTATTTCAGTAAAGCACGCCCATACAAACTCATGCCTGTAGATTCAACAAGTGTCTCAAGTTCACACCCATGGGAACACAAGAATCAACTGAAGCATTCCAGATTGAAAAGTGTTGCACAAGAAACATTCAAAATTGCAATAACGTGTTCTCTAGAACTTTCTGTTCGGACGACTACAACACACAAAAGCTTTAAAGGGTTTTCAAAATCCATCCCCTTGCGTTTGTGTCCGAGTGTTTTAGTTCGGTGCTGTCTGCACCTCTTCAGTGTAGAGGCTGTGACTTGGATTTGAGAAACAGCTTCAGTTGCCAGCGGAGAAGGCAGGTTGGTTGTAGAGTTCTTTATTCGCTGATCTGAGTTGCCGGCGACTGCCACTTCATGCATTTCTATGTATGAACTGGAAGACGTAGAATACAGCCTTTGACTATGTGTGATGTCGTATTTAGACAGTTCTGCTTATTACTATTACCTTGTCCATGACCCAGAATCCTTGGGAGTTCTTAAGAAAAGAAGGCATCCTGGGGCCCACACTGAGGCAGAGCAGGTTACACCACTGTTTGTGACACCAGCATCCCACATCGGAGCACTGGCTGGAACCCTGGCTGCTTCACTAATGATCCAGATCTCCTCTAATGCGCCTGGGAAAGCAGAAGATGGTCCAAGTGCTCAGGCCCTTTTACCCATATATAGGACCCAGAAGGAGTCATGGACTCGGCTTCAGCCCAGCCCCGTCCTGGCTGTTGAAACTCCTTGCATCACTCTCTGACTTTCTCTATCTTCCTCTATCACTCTGTCATTCAAATAAATAAATCTTTTTTAAAAGGCATCTTTTTATTACTTATATTATGATAATGATTATTTGAAAGTCAGAGAGAGATGGAGATATGAGAGAAAAGGTGAGCTTCCATCTGTTGGTTCATTGCCCAAATGTCCACTACAACTTGTACTGGACACAGCCAAAGTCAACTCAATCCAAAACTCAGTCCAGATCTTAGAAATGGGTAGCAGAGACACAAGTACTAGGCCATCACCTGCTCCCTCCCAGGGTGCACATTAATAGGAAGCTGGAATCAGAATCAGAATCGGAACTCAAATCCAGGCACTCTGACATGAGATGCAGGTGTTCCGTGCAACATCTTTTTTTTTTTTTTTTTTTTGGACAGGCAGAGTTAGACAGTGAGAGAGAGAGAGACAGAGAGAAAGGTCTTCCTTCCATTGGTTCACCCCGCAAATGGCCACTACGGCTGGCGTGCTGCACCGATCTGAAGCCAGGAGCCAGGTGCTTCCTCCTGGTCTCCCATGAGGGTGCAGGGCCCAAGCACTTGGGCCATCCTCCACTGCCCTCCCGGGCCAGAGCAGAGAGCCGGACTGGAAGAGGAGCAACCGGGACTAGAACCCCGTGCCCCAACCGGGACTAGAACACGGTGCCCCAACCGAGACTAGAACCGGGAGTGCCAGCACCGCAGGCGGAGGATTAGCCAAGTGAGCTGCGGTGCCGGCCCTCCATGCAACATCATAACCACTGTGCCAAACGCCTGCCCCAGAAGGCATCTTCACCATAAGCTGTACAACCAGAGCAGTGGGGATAGAAGAGAAACAGAAGCCAGGTTTTGTAAACTGAAACTTCCTGCAGATGTGGGAGGCCTGATTCTTTGAAAACTGGAGAAGAGACCACAGGACCAGAGCAAGTAAGCACCACACACCCCCCATCCCCACTCTACTCAGATGAGTGTTTACCATGTCATGGAGCGAGCCATGGAAGCCAAACGAGGGCAGCCTTCGTCTGTCCTTTTGAGCCCTCTGCAAACCTCCCGAGAGAGCTTATGGCAAGGGTGCCAATCAGCATGACATCAGGGCTGGCATAGGTGGAAATGCACGCCCTTCAACACAGGGACCTCAGACACCTGAGCCCCACCTCATTTGTCTCACCAATCCCTCAACTGCAGCCCAGGTGAAGCTCTGCTAAGTCTCTTGGCTACATCCCTCTTCCATCTCTTTCTTCAGGATTGTTCAGCGGCCTAAATCCGACCATGTCCAAGGTTGTTTTCATATACCACTCTACGTAAAGCCTTCCCCTGTTACTGGGCCTGAAAAGATTCCTTCTTCCGTTAAACACCTAAAAAACTTTGATGTTAGTAATCTTGTAAAAGTGCCCCCTTATTGTCTTGAATTACTGTTTAAATACAGATATATCTAAATCTCTAGTGCTTTTTAACAGATCTCATAAACTCGTCTCATAAAATGTAGCCCTGCCTTTAAGGGTTTATCATACACAAGCTCCTTCTGGGTCAGAAGCCTGGCTTTGGCATCTTTGTTCCTATCATTGGTGCTTCATTTTGGTATGCATTGAGCACATAGCAGATGACCCATCAGCTTCTGAGAGTGGCGACTGTTAAGAGCAAACCCAGGGAATGCCCTCTGCCCTAAAACTCAACAGCTCATTTATTACAGACACATGAAGATCAGATCTATAAAGATTCCCAAGGGAAAATTTCCAAAGTGTCTTCCGATCTTTGCTATGCATTTGAAAATTACCTCCACAGTTACCCTAACTTCACCCCGCAACTCCCATGCATGTCCAGGCTCCAAACTCCCCTACCTCAAGCGCTCTCAATGGGAAGCAAATCTATCCCCCCAGGGGGTATTCCAAAGGTGTGGGAATGTTTTTGATTTTCATAACTGGAGACATACTGGGCAGCCAGTGGATAGAGGCCAAAAATGCCAAACATCCTATCATGCACAAAAAAAAAATAATTATTCATCTCACAGTGTTAATAGTGCCATGGTTAATAACCCCACCACAGTTGGAAATAATATCTCCCTCATCTACATTCTTAAAATACCATGATCCTGGATAGACATTCAGCACAGCGGTTAAGACACAGCTTGGGAAACCCGCATCCACATCAGAGCGCCTAGGTCCAGGTCCTACCTCTGCTGCTGACTCCAACTTCCTGCTGATGCACACCCCGGGAGGCAGCAGGTGGTGGTTCAAGTGCTGGGTCCCTGACACCAGTGGCAGACCAGACTGAATTCCAGACTGCTGGCTTTGGTCTGCCTGTTGTGGACACCTGAAGAGTGTGCCAGCAGATGGAAGATCTGTTTCTCTGTCCTTCGCCCTTCAAATAAAATTAAAATAAATAAATTCTTTAAAAATGTGTGTTCCTCCCTCCCTCTCTAATGGGAAATACCGTTCTTCACTGGGTGATTCGGTGAGCAGGGCTATGTCTTCATCACTTTCAATCCCCCTACTCTCAGGGTTAGCACCGCACTCTGCTCCCGCCTCATGCCAAAGACGCCTGCAGTCCCAAGACAGAAAAGGCGGAAATCCTTAAAATAACAATAGTTAACACAAGGCAAATGCTTGCTGTCCTCCATAATCTCTAAATCCTTAACAAGTATTATCCTAATTAATCCTGCAACAACCAGGTAAGAGAGGCACTATCACATTCCAGAGGTGAACATGAAGCATTAAAGAAGTCATCGTTCAAAATCACGTAGCGAACAGAACACACGCACACACACGCACACACACACACTCTGACTCCAATGACTCTTTCCTGAATTGATTAATCATATGCACCCTATTATTGCTTAAATCACAATTCTCAAGTGTAGGGAGGGGTGTTTGATTAGTGGTTAACATGCCCATGTTCCATATTTGAGAACTTGAGTATCATTCTCACCTCCAACTCTTAACTCTTGCTTTCTGATAATACAGACTCTGGGAGACAGTGCAAGCAGTTAGATTCTTGTCACCCAAATGCAAGATCTGGATTGAATTCCTGACATTTGGGGAACAAACCAGTAGACAGATGGTCTCTCTCTCTCTGCTTCTCTCTGTCTCTCTCTGTCTCTCTCTCCCCCCCCTCCCTCCCCCCTCTCTCCTTCCTCTCTTCCCCTCTCCCCTCCCCTCCTGTCCCAAATAAACCTAAAACATAAAATGTTCAGCTGTAGACCCAGTAAGTTGATTGTCTTTCACAAGAAAATGGATGCAATTGGAAACCACTATATGAAGTTAAATAGCCAGTCCCAAAAAGACAACCAATCCTATGTTTTCCCTGATCTATAGTAACTAATAGAGTATCAAAAAATGTAGTGTATATGATCAAAATTGACATTTTGAGATTTGCTTATTGTTTGTAGCCTTTGTCCCCACTGTTGAGGATTAGGGTTTTCTTCTTCTTACTGTTTGTTGAATTCTTTACTTAGTGGAGGGTTAAGCTTATGATTATAAAATAAATTGAAAGTATTAAATTATAACACTTAAAAGAATAAGAATGGAAGGTGGAGGGAGTGTTGGAGTGTGGGAAGGAGGGTAGGGTGGGAAGAATTACTATACTCCTAAATCTGTATATATGAAATACATGAAATCTGTTCAACTTGTATAAAGAAAAAAAACTGAAAAAAATAGATAGAGATCCACGTTCAAAAGAAACCAACAAATGCTGAGAAGCAGGCTATTTGGCCAGTAGATTATCCATATGTGACAAAAATAAAACTTGTTTCTGATAAGCCACGTCTATTTTATGTCTTCCATTTTCCTGAAATTATGCTAAACTCTATGTACATAGAGATGTAGAGGACACAACCTCTGACCTGAGAGAACTTGTGATGAACTGGGAGACAGAGAACAGACCAACACAACTTCAACCCCGCAAGGCTAGTACCTGGTAGATCTGCACACAAGGGGGTAAGAGGGACTAAGTAGAAACAGAAACAGGCAGCCATGGAACTGCTGGTGATTGATCTGGGTAGGCAGACATTGAAATACAAGAACAAGATGGAAACTTTAAAAAGACGATGCACTTATGAAGCTAATTATAGCTCGCGAGGCATTGTGATATCACAAGAGGGTTCCTGAACAGGCGTGTCACATGGTCAGGTGTGCAGAGTGGAACCTGAATTCAGAGAGCAAGATTACAGGGAGGCAAGCTGTAAAGGCACTTACTGTAGCCATTCAGGCAACAACTATTAAGTGCCTGAACAAGACAGTGTTGGAGGTAGGAAGTTCCCTGTCAATAAACAGATGTTCCTAACCTGAGCTATTTCCTGAAATTTACAGCCCAATAACACCACACCATCAAAATGAGGCACTCACACACCCTCATAAATACCTTGTTCTTCAGCCAAACATTCAGCACTTATGGGATTGTCCTTGGACTTCATGACAAAAGTTTAGACCTGACTTTCTAAAAATTCCACTCAAACTGGCCGTTTGTGAGTAATGTTAAACAATTTAACAGTGGGTAGGATTTAAGATTTTCCAAATAGGGAGAAATCAACAGCAACCGCTAAATTCCCTGCATACACCCAGCCTGTGTTAAAGAAAACAAGTATTAATGATACTCAATAAAGCACAGACCGACCTTGTACAGGGCCATCACTGTAGGCACAGGGAACTCTGCGATGGGATGTCTGTAGTGGGCAAGAAACTGGACTCAATTCCGAATACATCATTGGAAAGCGGGACTTGTGGCCAAGGGTCAGGGTAGGGTCACAGATGGAGGGGGAGGGGAGGGGGAGGGGAGGGGGTAGGAGACAGGGAAGGGGAGGGAGGGGGACAGGAAGGAGAAGGAGAGCTATCATCCATCCACTGACTGGTTCATTCCCCCAAATGGCTGCAATATACAGAGCTTGGCCATGACAAAGCAAACAGGAGCTTCATCCGGGTTTCCTACATGGGTGCAGGGGTCCAGGCACTTGGGCCATCTTCCACTGCTTTCCCAGGCACAATAGTAGGGAACAGATCAGAAATGGAGCAGCTGGGACACAAACCAGAGCCCATATGGGATGCCAAGATCACAGGTGGTAGTTTAGCTCAGTATGCCACAATGCCTGCCCTGCGCTGGGGTTCTTATTAAAATGACTTAGCAGGACGTTTTGCTAAAATCGAATTTTGTAAGGAAGTGCACAGATGGACATAGGAGAGGCTTCAGGAGCTTGACTAAAGTTTGGTCAAGCAAAGAATATTTGTCATATGTGAGGGTATTTCAAGCAGTTCATAGAGGGGCCAGCCTCATGGCACAGCCAGGGAAGCTGCTGCCTGCAATGCCAGCATCCTATATGGGAGTACTGATTCCAGTCCCAGTTGCTGCACTTCCAATCCAGGTCTCTGCTAACGTGCCTGGGAAGGCAATGGAAGACAGCCCAAGTCCTCAGGGCCCTGCCACCAATTTGGGAGACCCACAGGGACTTCCGGTCTCCTGGCTTCAGCCAGGCCCATCCCTGGCTGTTGGGGCACTTGGAGAGTGAACCAGCAGATTGAAAGATGGAAGTTATCTCTCTCTCACTCTTGCTCTCTGCCCCCTCCCTTTCAAATAAATGAATAAATCTTTTTAAAAGGAATCAACTTCATAAAAATGGAATTAAAAACAAATTTATTTTGATGCACAAAATTTTGCAGTCTATGCTATGCATTTACCATGAATTTCTGAAGTCATATTGTAGGCCCTCAATAGCAGCAGTTGAGTAAGCCCTAAGGCTTAAGAGCTGAAATGCTTAACCTACATTCTTCACAGTGTAGTTAGAGTTCCTTTGGCCTTGTTTTGTGCTATTTCTCCATATTTTGGAAGTCATGCATGGATGAGTATACTTCAAAAAAGTTCATGAAAAATTAAAGATGAATTTATTTCGCTACAAAAACTTTGAAATAAGGCCTATTTTTCATAGAATACATTTTCCATGAACTTTTTGAATATACCAAGTATGCCCAGATGTCAATGTTTTTGCATACAAATTAGTTTATCTTTTAATTCCATTTTCCATGAACCTTTTAATGTACCCTTATATTTATCCACTTGGATTTTAATTTTACTGAAGCAATTTAGTTTTAACACCAAATTAAGAATGTTGACTTCTTAAAGCTGACTCACTTGAAAGTTTAATAGTGCTAATGTACGCAGACACATCAAATGCTTAAACAGGATACAACTGCATGGCAGTCTTCCTGCCTCCGGTTGCCTACAATAATGAAAGAATTGTTAAAGCCACTGCCCGCCTGCCCAAGGTCACAGTATACACATCATTTCCATGGGGAGGACTTGACCACCTTGTAGGTGCAGTTCGGCCCCCTGCTGACTCCTAGCCACACCTTGTACTTGCCCTATCTGACACGCACTCTTAGGAAAATGCTTGTTTCATCACCATCCCCCTTTCCCCTCCTGCCCCAGAAACTCGATGGGGGCGGCGTCATTAGTGGCCTTTTCCGTGACTGCCTTCCCAGGACCGAGCCAAATACCTGCACATAGACATGCTCAATAACTATTTGCTCAGTCTACGACTGCATCAGCTCATCCATCCATCTCAGCTACTCACGAGAGATCTGAGATGGAAAAACAAACACGGAGCACCGCCTCTGGGACAGAGCTGTGGTCCAGACTGGAGGAAGGATGTACTCACTCTCAACAGAGCTTATTCCGCTTGCATTGTGATTTTGTTTGATGGGCTTTCTCCATTATACAATAGCTTTTTATATTAAAAATATAAATGATTTTATGTTCAATAATAAGTTCCTTCCATTTAACAGATCTCTGAGAAAGAAAACAGTTAGAAAACAAAAAGAACACTTATTGATTCTTAAGAAATAAAGAGGTTCTAGTACTTACGTATAATGAGACATAATTATTAAAAAGAATCTTTCTTTGAAAATATTTTAGTTTTAGAACTATCACAATAGTCATTTCATTCTCCAGTGTTCCTGAGATAGGCATTCACTTTCTACTACTAAATTAAGTAGGTGGGGAAAAGGCGTATTTTAAAGTTCATTGCCTCAATGAAATCCTCTCAAATATATCTTGCCTATAATAATGACCAGATCTCCATACCCCATCAGAATCTGAGAATATTTTTCTCAATCCAATCAAAAGTAATTAAGTACCTCCTTAATATCTTATTATTGATTAAGGCCTTATTTTCTAACAAAACATAAATATTTATAATTCTATTTCTATATATGTGGTATTCCCACAGCACACCCCTTATTAAGAATAATAATAATAATAATTTTGGCCGGCACCGCGGCTCAATAGGTTAATCCTCCGCCTTGCGGTGCCGGCACACAGGGTTCTAGTCCCGGTCAGGGCACCGGATTCTGTTCCGGTTGCCCCTCTTCCAGGCCAGCTCTCTGCTGTGGTCAGGGAGTGCAGTGGAGGATGGCCCAAGTGCTTAGGCCCTGCACCCCATGGGAGACCAGGATAAGTACCTGGCTCCTGCCATCGGATCAGCGCGGTGCGCCGGCCGCAGCGCACCAGCCACCAGCCGCGGTGGCCATTGGAGGGTGAACCAACGGCAAAAAGGAAGACCTTTCTCTCTGTATCTCTCTCTCCCACTGTCCACTCTGCCTGTCAAAAAAAAAAAAAAAAAGAAATAATTTTTAAGAGCAGTTTGAAGTAACAGAAGACCTATTCAAACTTTTAAAAGTAAGGAACATTATTTCACATAGTAAGAAATTGGAGGCTAAATGCTTTCAAGGCCAAATGATTCTATGTTGCTTTTCATACTTCCCCTCTTGACCCTCCATATTGTGGGATAAACTCTCAAGATGGATCCTGAGTGGTCAAATGAGAATAAAATTCAAAATGCAGCCAAGAAGACATTCACTGACTACAGCCACAACCCCTTTGCAACCCTGGCTCAGCCACGTTCCTGTTTCAACTACCAAGATAAACAGCCTCCAGAAAGTCTCACTGTGCCAGCCACACCCAGCCGGTGGTCTGCACCCTCTCATCAACCCATCACACTGAACAACTCACAATACCTTCTTTGCATAAGCCAATCAGAACTGAGCAACCCTGAAGCCCTCATTCGCACAAGCTGACTTTGGTGAGAACCTGAGTGGGAGATTCCTCTTCCTTTCCTTTGTTGTACAGGAGGGAGCAGGGCGACAGGTGGATTTCTACTGAGGGACGCAGTGCCCTGATTGTCAAAAAACAGGATTAATAAGGCTCCTTTTACAGATTTGCTGGGTTTTTTGCAGATTGTCATTAACAGTGGCTATTCATTTCAAAGCTCCATAGTAACTTCAGAAGCACTAAACATATCCAAAGCTCAGAAGAGAGAACTTGGAACCAAAGAGATCCAAAGGATCCTTAGAGAAACGGAAAACCACTTCAGAGGATGCCAGCAACCTCTCCCTAGTTCTGCCCATCGATGGCCAAGGGGGTTGCATTTACAGGACTGCCTTTGTTGACAGGGACTGACAGTGCTGAGAGCAACCTCCTCCTCTCTCCTGAGTGAATGGCTGCCTGGCACGGGGAAAATCTTATAGAATGTACTTGCAGGGAAGACGCAAGAAGGGGAATTGAGAAGTCAACCAAAGTTATTAGTCCCAGGAGTGTTTTTTTTTTTTTTTTTGCTCTGACTTGATTATTTTAAGGAATAGATTTATGATCATCATTGTCAGATAAAGATTCACACTGGATGCTATTTACCTTTAATAAGGGTAAAAGGGAATTTTTTATTCATTATTCAATGAATTATTAAAAGAGCTAGGTACCAGACTAACATAAATAAATGCATGGCCCCTCCTCTCATGGAGGTTATGCTGCAGTAGGGGAGACAGGCAAAGTATTAGCCAGCAAATGGAAATGTTTTACAATACATGCTGTGGAAGATGAGTTTCTCTGTAGCAACAGGACAAATGGTAGGAAGTACTTCAATTCTGGCACCTCACCTGACATAGAACAGCCCCCAAAACTGGCTGGAGGAATCTAAGCAACCTCTGAGACTGGGCCCACTTGCCTGACATGCAGGACGCCAATCACTGACACAGGTGGTGGAAGAAGAGTCGGGAGCTGGGCAATAGCTCTGAATTCTCAGGCTCCCTGAGGGGTAGCGGTGAGGGTTCTTGTGTGCTGAAGTTGGGATGAGAGGTGCATGTTCAGCATGTATCCAGATTCCTGGTTGTTCGGTGGTGCTAATGGCCTTCCTTGGACTGGTCAGTGATCCAGTGCTTTTTAGGGAAATTTTATAGTGGCCCAGTGGGCTTCAATCAGTCTGGGGGCAACAGGCAAGTAGTAATGATTTTCTGACCTGGACATGAAATTCCCAGAAAAAGAAAATCCTGGGCCAACATCAAAATGTTATCTAAGGGAGAAGCAAACGACCTCATGGATCTGGTGACTGAACCATATAGGACTGGCTGCTCGACTCCCTCAATTCAGCAAGGTAATTTTAGTAAGAAGTTGATTAACAAGCGCAAAGGCGGGGCAAGGATGCTTTAAGCTAAGGGAAGGAATTTAGGAGACCCGGGTGTTACGGTGTCTAGTATCTGCATCCAGTGCACTGTATCAAGGCTAACCGCATGAAGGTCAAAAGTGAACGTACATGGAGGGCACAAACCCTGGGCATGGGAAAAGTATGC